TGAAGCAGCAAAACCTGCATTTCTTCAGCACCAACTTAATAGAAGCAATCCTAAATGAAATTTTAAGGCCTTGAAATTTTTTTATAGGCTGACGCGAGTCAAAATGGATTCGGCGGTATAGAAGCCTACTTTACTCAGAAACTCGATCATTTCGACAACCAGTCCAGTGCCACCTGGCCACAGGTAATGTTTCCTACATATGTCGCCTTGTTAGGGTTTTATCAACAGCTCGGCAGTCGAGCCAGCTTCAAGGTTTTGTACTGTTTGAAATCATGGATTTTCAGCGTTATTTCTACAATCTGCGATATCATCGCCCTGGAGGAAATGTCGTCTTTCTCATGCTGGGAGGAGCAACAGTTCAACAAATCATGTGGGTGAGTGTTAGCTTACGTTGGTTCTCTAGCTAAAAAGCGGGATAGTAGCTCAAACGCTATCCTTGAAAGTCTTGGGTATCTCATCCCCGACAAGAGGACAGTTTCTACGAATAGTTATGATTCTTGGCATAATGACCACGACGATGGATTCGTCTTGTTTTTTATGTGAGACCCGCGATCAGACCGAACCAAGGGATTCCACTTTTGAGGTGATCGCGCACTATGTCCTGAAGCGGGTCTCTGGGAGCACAGTAATAATCGTGCAAGCTTTCCATTTTCTCCATAGTTTTTGCAATAGTTCATAAATCAGACAATATTCGAGCATGGCTTATGAAATTTTCAGGTCCATAAAGAAGAGATACCATTCGTGCAGTGGGGTAAGGAAAGAGGAGCCATTCTCTTTGCTCTCGAACATCGCTTCTACGGAAAAAGCCATCCAACCAAGTTAGTCGGCATTCTTCCCAAAATTTTCTGAATTTTATAGAAGTATTCGTAAGGTCCAGATATACCACGAGGTACTATGCGTTGAAATCACTCACTTGATCCTTTTTAGTCTACCCGAATAAGCATGGGCCCCAGGTTTTCATCATCTTACTGACACATGGCAAATCCTGGTTGTGCTCTGTGGACAAAACTGACCTATTATTGAACAAAAAGAGCAAAAAGCAAACGGAACTGTCAAACACTCACTCTTAGTTGACTTGAACTTTCTGCGAAAGCGGTGAAGAGGGAGAGGCGAACTGAGACAGTTAGGCTGCGTTTATACTTTGCGGCAGCGTAGCGTAGCGCTTCCAGCGTACGCCAGCGGCAGTGCCGGGGAGAGGATGCATATCGATCTAGCGTTCCCAGCGTCACCAGCGTCACGCTAGCGTACGCTAGCGGCACGCTAGCGTACGCCAGCGTTTCTCCAGCGTTTCACCAGCGTTTTGCTAGCGTTTGCAGCGGCAGGGAGTAGAGACTATGGGAGAGCTGGAGGGTACAAAACACATCGATTGCGCGTCTCTCACTCGCCCTTAGTCTCTACAATACACATCGCTTCTGCGTCTCCGACGGCCACATAGTCTCTACTATACACATCGATTCCGCGTCTCTGACGGCCACATAGTCTCTACTATACACATCGATTCCGCGTCTCTGCCGGCCACATAGTCTCTACAATACACGTCGATTCCGCGTCTCTCACGGCCACATAGTCTCTACTCCCGCCGCTGCAAGCGCTAGCAAAACGCTGGTGCCGCGTGCGCTAGCGGCACGCTAGCGTACGCTGGTGACGCTGGTGAAGCTAGATCGATATCTATCCTTTCCCCGGCACTGCCGCTGGCGTACGCTGGAAGCGCTACGTACGCTTTTTTTTTTTTTTTCTTTTTTTTCCCGCAAAGTATAAACGCACAGCTTAGTGCGGGGGAGAAGAAGCTCAGTGAGCAAAGATCGACGAACAAGAAAGGGGAGCAGACGACAGACCCAGGACATTCTTCAATGGTTTCACCTGTGGAATGGGGCTTTACTTGGTCCTCGTATGGTTGCAACGGCAAATGTCTTCAGCACTTCCAAGCCGTGAGAGTGCGTGGGTTGAGCGAAACTACCCATTAGAGCCGCACCGCAGGGTTAGCGATGACGTGCGTTTACGCCTACAACGCGGCTGTAACGCCTGTGACGCTGCTACAATTGCAACAACGCTCCAATCCTATGAACGCAAACGGAGCCGCAGACAGGAATCAATCGGCGCTGCCCTAGCGCTCGATACCGAACTGCGTGACCAGGCAGCACGTACCCTCCAATTCCCCCTATTCTCTACACACACAGGCAGCGCTGATCTATTCTCGTATGCGGGTGCGTCCGCATCTATGGGATTGGAGCGCCGTTGCAACTGTCGCGCGTTGCAGCGCGTCGTCGCGCGACGACGCGAAGTTTACCATGTAGTTCCGAATAAGTATAGAAGGCGTGAAGCATTAAAAAGTATTAACCAGACTGGAAAACAATTTCAGCGATATGTCCGTGAAGAATCTTCTGCTCAATAGTCGCCAAGCACTTGAAGACGTCGCCACATTTATACAATCAATGAACAAAGTTTATAATTTCAAAGACCCTAAATGGATAGTATTTGGAGGATCGTATGGTGGTAAGTAGTTCGAGTTTGTTTTTCTCAGACAGTATAATGAATAGAGATAATTTTCTGTTCTCCTCTTCTTGCACCGGCACAGTTCCCATATTTTCCGGAGTATAAAGCGCACCTACGAAAGGGCGCACTATCGCTTCGAACGCCGCGAGTGCTTCAGCCTGACATTACTTTTTGCGGTTATTTGTTTGTTCCTATTCATATTAATTACGTTTATTCAATGAGAAGTGTTAGAAATTCAATCAGAAGATCAAACTGTAAAAAAGACGTGAAAACACAACTTTTCGCGCGCGTAATCGCGATCACCTCAGCGAAATGCTCAGAAAGTAGGGTAGTTGTAACTAGCTTTGGTTTCTGGGCGCCTCAGGAGCTTGATGAGTGGCAAGTTTATCGATGTCCCCCAACATTTTGAATGAATCGCGGTCTTTAGAGGCCTAAACGTAGTTCACAGTTTAGATTTATGCTCTTATCCACAAAGCACCTCATCTTCTACAGCGCTTTCGACGTCCTATCGCTTCCAAAGCCATGAACCTCGAAAGAGAACATCAAGCAGCATAGAGCGCTTTATGGCGTAGGGGGTGCAATTCGCACTGTCGCTAGTTCCTGCTAAATTACGCGTTTCACCTTGATGAAACCCGTAGACTTGCCAAGTGCAAAGTAAGTTC